CAATGGCCCAAGAAACTCCCTAAGAATATTAGATGCAGAATATTTGTTGATTTAAATTAATAGAAAGAACTCCACCTCTGGGCTTTCCTTATGCTGAATGAAATATTCACAAGTCCAGATTCCCTCTGTCTCCATCTCTATGTTGCCTCTATCTCTCTCCCTTTCTTCTCCTTCCATAAATACACACACACATATACACATATATGTATACACACATCTTTTTGCATATTCACATGTACTTTACTGTCTTCCTGTTGTCTTGATTTGTTTTGTACACACTCCTTCCTTCTCCTCTCCTTCCACTCTGTTTAGTAGAATATAATCTCTTCAAAGGCCAGAACAGCTGCGTCTTCAGTGCCTAGCACTACCCCTGACACTTAGCAGGCACTTAAGAAATGAGCATTAAATTGAATTGACTTGAACATGAGTCCAGGTGTCATGGTGGTTGCTATTTGCCCTAGATATCTCCAACTTATCAATTTCATTCCTAAAATAACTCACATCTGACCACATTACTCTTGGTCAAGGTACAGAGACTCTGTGGCCTATCAGGTGCTCAGATACACTGTGCCTCTTTTAAGGCTGCCTAAGATTACACTGGACAGCTACGTGGTACAGCGGATAGAGCACTGGACTTAGAGTCAGGAAGACCCATCTTCGTGAGTTTAAATCTAGCCTCAAACACTTACTAGCTGCGTGACCCTGAGCAAGTCACTTAACCCTGTTTGCCTCAGTTCCTCCTCTGTACAATGAGCTGGAGAGGAAATGGCAAAGCTCTTCAGTTTCTTTGCAAAGAAAACCACCAAAAAAGACTCGTAAAGAGTCAGATATTACTAAAAGGACTCAACACCAACAGCAAAAAGTTACACCAACTCTTTGGGCTTCCATAAGAAAGGACTGACAACCCTTGACACTTACTATCTGTGTGACCCTGGGCAGGTCACTTAACCCCAATTGCCTCACCAAAAAGCAAAAAAAAGAAAAAAAAAAGAAAAGACTGGCAATACTGAGCTTTCAGTCCACTAAAACTCCTGGGTCTTTTCTGGATTAATTGTTGTTGAGCTTCATTTTATTTTCACGAAGATGACTTTCTGAACCCAAGTATCAAACCTTTTATTGATCATTATTACATTTAATAATTAATTTTATCTGCAGTTTCTAGCCTGTTAAGATTGTTTTGAATCTTGAGTCTGTTAGCATGCTAGCAACCCTTCCTAGCCTTGTTTAAGGGCTTCTTTTTTAAGTAGGCCATCTGCATTTTTGATGATGTGATTGATGAAAATGTTAATTAAACACAATAGGGTCAAGCACAAATCCTTGGACCCTGTTCTGGAGACATCCTGCCAAGTAGACATTATGAAATCATGGTTCTAAAATTGGCAAGAATCTTAGAGACCTCTTAGTCTACCCTTCAATCTACAACTCAAGAAACAGGCCCAGGAATGTTAAGTTACTTGCCTGTGATCACACAGGTATCAGGAGAGATTTGAACTCAAATCCTTTGACTTCAGAGTCAGTGTTCTTTTCACTGTTCCATATTAAAGCTTTAATGATTACTCTTTGAGTTTGGTCATTTTACCATCTCCAGAGTTTCCTAATTCTAGTATTTTCTAAATCATATCACTAGAGCTTTCTTACCAGAGTTTCAGATGATTTTGTAAATTGAGCTATTTAAATCTCATTAAATGATGTCTAAAACATTTCCTTGATCTATTGACTGGTAGTGACCCAATTTAAAAAAATGGGAAATCATGTCAGGTTGGGCATGACTGATTTTGATCTTTGTGGTTACCCAAATATATAAGCTCTTCCTAACATACAAAAGATAGTCCATATGAAATCAAACAAGAAAAGCCTCCCAGCATACATCAAGAGGGCTGGGCTGAGAGGCAGACAAAAGGGAATAAACAATGACATCTGAAAGGTGAGAATATAAGGGAGAGGTAAAGGTTAAATGGAGCCAGCAGGGATACACAAGAACATGATAGCCATTGTATATTTGCTGTAGTCATGTGTTACCCATTCACATCAGCTTCAAGCATTCTGTGGCAGCCATGGGGCACAGTGGACGAAGCACTGAGGTGAGGTTCAGGAAGACCTGAGTTTGAATCCTGCTTCAGAAATGTACTAGCTGTGTAATTCTGGTCAAGTCACTCATTTCTCTGTGCCTCAGTTTACTCACCTGTAAAATGAGAAGCTCGATACGTTTTAAGGTCTCTTCCACCACTAAATCTATGATCCTATGAAAGGAGGCAGCTGGGTCCTCAAAGATAACTTAGGTAAGAGGTGATAGTGGAGTTACTTGAGTTTATTGAGGGACTTTGAAAATCATTTGACTAAATAAAAAAGAAAGCAAATTTGGTGATTACAAGCGCTCATTCTCCATTCAATTCAACAAGTACTTATTAATTGTTTACTATGTACCAAGTGCTGAAAATATGTAGGGACTGAACCTGGAATTTCATTAATGTAGGAGACTTCCAGGTGGGGAAAATCTATCTACACATGTAGATAGGCATCTTCTCTGCCACTTCTAGTCTTTTTTTAAAATTTAAAAATTTTTTTTTTTCCTTTTGGCTAGGCAATGGGGTTACGTGACTTGCCCAGGGTCTCACAGCTAGTAAGTGATACGTGTCTGAGGTCAAATTTGAACTCAGGTCTTCCTGAATCCAGGGCCAGTGCTCTATGCACTGTGCCACCTAGCTGCCACCTAGCTGCCCCCTACTTCTAGTCTTAAAGCATGGCCTAGGGTCACATAGCCAGTATGTTAGAGGTGGAACTTGAACCGAAATCTTTCCGGCACCAAGATCAGCTCTCTATCCACTAGGCTACATTGCCTTCCTACAAAGACTGGTTAAACAGATCCCACACTCAAGGAACTTAAAGTTCAGGGGGGGTGGGGGCACTAGTAACTAGGGGAGCCAGGAATGAGCACCTGAGTTGACCCCTGCAGGGGGACAGCAGTTGCATGAAACAAAAGTGAGGAGGGATAACATTCCCTAAGGAGGTTATGAGGGAGAGCTATGGAAGATAGTTTATGCAAAAGCAAAGGAGTCTTTCTAGGAAAAAAAAAAACATAGGTTTTTAAAAATGAGTGTACAAATCACTTTAAAATGTATTTATCTATTGTGCCTGAAGGTTTCTATGTTTCTGGGATAAGCACTTACCTACTTATCTCCCCCAAATCCAAGAAGTAGGAAGTGTAATTACTGTTATTCCTATTTTACAGATGAGGAAAGTGAGGCTGGGAGAGGTTAAAGTCACTTTTTCTGGTCACAGCACTAGACAGTGCTGGAGACAGATCTCGAACCTTGGCCTTTTGCCTCTAAGCCTACGATATTTCCCTCTACACCATGCCTCTTCTCACTTTCCCATTCCGTAGCTCTTTACCCCCATTTTCTCACTGATTTCCAGGTGTTAAAAACTTGTAATACATGAGCTTTCAGTTTTTTAATGTCTTTTTGCCTCTTATTTACTTAGACTGGCGTGAAGAGCCAATGGGATACATTGATAAAAAGAAGGCCAAATTAGGACTCAGCCTTTTTTTTTTATGTTCAGAGAGGAATTTATTTAAAGAAACTTTCCTCTGCATTTAGCTCTGTCTATGTGGCCTAGACCATTTAAATTAACCCAGACTTCTTTAAAATTGTGGGATGGGGACCTCAAAGATAATCTAGATGTGTAGCCCTAATAATAGCTCACTTTCATTTGGTTCTTTAAGGCAGAAGTGTCAAATACAGTGGGTTGAACCATATTAAAGTGCAGTTGGGCAACATATAACAAAATAAATAACTGTGCAATAGAACACAGATAATGTTAATGTTAATGTGTGTGTGTGTGTAAATTAATATGTGAGTTGCAAGGATCCTTATTGTGGTTTACTGCCTTCTAAGTTCTATTTGAGTTTGACGCCACTGGTCTAGACAATTACCCTGATTTGATAGGTGAAGAAACTGAGGCCCAGAAAGATGGCCCGAGGACATATAGCAGTAAATAGCCAAGCTGGAATTTGAACACAAGACTTTGTGTCACAGGCCTCAGTCTTCCTTTGGTGTGTGTATTAGCTTACATGGCCACCAAGGTCCCTTCCAACTCTCAAATTCTACAATTCTGGCATCTGTGTTTGTTTGTTTAATGGTGGAGGTATGCCCATATGCCTAGTTTTTGGGTGCATTTCCCCAGACTCCTTCTACAAATGAAAATTCCAACTTCTGCATCATCACAGGATTATAGGGCTAAAAGCAATCTTGACATCATTTACTGCAACTCCCTCAGGAGGAAACTGAGTCCCAATGAGGTTAAGTTACTTGTCCAAGGTCACAAAGGTCATAAGTGTCAGATGGGGGATTTGAACAATTGTCTTGGGTCTCCCAAACCACTATACTCTTTTGCCTATACCATACTGCCTCAATACATGGGGCCATTTTATTTGATCTTAACACAGAAGGCAAGGCCAAAAAATCTTGATCTAAAAAACAGAATTGGGTGGGGGAAGAGGTTTGTGGATAGTCAGTGCTGCAGATCCAGGATCATATTCCCTCTGACCCTCAAACTGGAGACATTACCTCATCAGGCTCAAGTGATCTGGGGCAAGATGTCTGACATCAAGTCCATGAGTGATGCCATCAGGCCTGACAGTTGCTGGCTGCTATGAGAGCTACAGCATGGGCAACGGGGAAATTAATTTGGCGAACTGTCTTATTAGACCAATGGAGAGGCTGAAGTCTGACTCCGGCTTGATGGACAGAGCAGGGCTGGAGAGGGCTTCACTCGACAGTTGGGCTTTTGAGCAGCTGAGCTGATGGTTATGTTTCCTGGAGGGAGATTTCCTTCAAGTGCTTTTCCAGAGCTGGATATCTCTGTGTAACGAGCAACAAGCCTTAGTCTTTGCATGCAAGTTTGAAGCATATCTGCTCAATCAGCAAAGCTGGATGGGCTCTGAATGCTACTTATGAACATTTGAACTTTCCTGTTTTCTTATAACCCAATCTTTCTTATAGGTATTAAATGGGAACCAGATGAGAATGGAGTCATTGCTTTTGACTGCAGAAACCGAAAATGGTAGGCAATACAGTCAATCCGTGAAATTTATTGAAGGAAAGCAAAAAGGGAGTTTTTTAGGAGTAACTTTTTTTTTTTTAAATTTTGACTTTTGATCTAGGTATATCCAAGCTGCCACTTCTCCCAAAGATGTTGTTATTTTAGTGGATGTGAGCGGCAGCATGAAAGGGCTGCGCTTGACCATCGCCAAGCAAACAGTGTCTTCTATTTTGGATACGCTGGGGGACGATGACTTCTTCAACATCATTGCTGTGAGTCCATCTGTTTGACTTTAGCTCTGCATTTCATTTTTACTTCATACCTTCTGATATCACGGGATGAACTTTGATGATTCCATTTCAAACGTGAAATCTGGAACCCAGGACTGTTGGACTGGGGCTGGCCATCCTCCACTGCTCTAAGGCTCAATCTGCTCATCATTACTTTGTAGAGTTGGGGTTAACTTTGTTTGTGGTTCAGCTCAAGGGTCACTTCTTACACGAGATGGCTCCTCATTCTCTCAGTTTCTAGCCTTCAGGAGAGTATTTTGAACTTTTTTGGGCAGTTACTTAACTGCATATATGTTATTGCTGCACTCGCTAGCAACTCTCCCCAACCCCCACCCCATCCTGTACAATGTAGGCTTCTTGAGATTAGAGACTGTTTTGGTTTTGTCTTTATATCAATAGTACATAGCCTGAAACATAATAAACATTCAATGAATGCTTGAGGGGAAACAATTAATGAATGAATTCAATGTAACCTTACGGGACAATGGATCCTGGCAATCAAGTGGGCTTTTAGGGAGTGATACCACCATTCACCTATGGTTGTTGTTGTGTTGAAGTTATTGTTGCTCAGTTGTTTCAGTCATGTCGGTCTCTTTGTGACCCCATTTGGGATTTTCTTGGCAAAGATACTGGAGTGGTTTTCCATTTCCTTCTGTAGCTCATTTGACAGATGAGAAAACTGAGGCAAACAGGGTGAAGTGATATGATTACACAATTGATACATGTCTGAGGCTAGATCTGAACTCAGGATGATGAGTCTTTGTGACTCTAGGCCTGCCACTCTATTTACTATGCCAGCTAGCTGGCCAACCCATGATAGGCCATTGCATCTGGACGTCTATGAGGAGATCCTGTAGCTGACTTGTAGACACTAGGCTTTCCAGAATTTGGTGATGAGACAAAATTATATGGCTGTATATTAAGTTTATTATTATAAGGCAGCATGGTGGCACTGGGCTTGGACTCAGGAATACTTGTGCTCAAATCTAGCCTCAGATACTTGCTAGCTATGTGACTTTGGGCAAGTTACTTAAACTTTGATTGCCTCAGGCTCTCATTTGTAAAATAATAATGGTGCCTACCTCCTATTGTTGTTGTAAGTACCTAATGAGATAACTGTAAAGCACTTAGCGCAGTGTCTGGAACATAGCGTTACAGAAATATTAGCTATCATTATTACTTACCATGTGGCAATACTTTTAACTTGAATATACTACCAGTTTTGTTTTCTAGCCATATCCTTTACTCCATTGTCTTCCTCATATAGATGAGATTTCATTCCCACATTATGTTCCCTTGTTTCTGAATGCCTTTCCATTTTCCCTTAAGCACTGGAGTGATCACCTTGGTCAAAGTTTATCTAGGCAAAGATCTGGGTGAAAAATCCTAAGAGGTGGACTTTTTGAAGGGTAGAATCGGAGTTAGAGAAACCACTATCTATATTCTTTTAGACTTATTATTGATGTGTGTGTGTGTGTGTGTGTGTGTGTGAGAGAGAGAGAGAGAGAGAGAGAGAGAGAGAGAGAGAGAGAGAGACCTGAACACAGTCATGACCTATCATTGAACTCTGCATGGAAAGAATGATGGAAATCATTTTCTTTTTTATTCCGTTCTCACGCATAAGGCAAAGAGGGAATGTTATGTAGGATGAGATTGAGGAAAAACACCTCGTATCTAGGGAGAGGATCTGGCTAAATAACTCATTGGCTTGTTGGCCTTGATAGTTCTTCTGAGGGCAATGGTTAGAGCAGTTCTTCAGGAAAGTTAGTAGCAATAAGCCTGCCAAAGGATAGAAGGTCTCACTTACAGCAAGTAGGGAGAGCATGACAGCTATTGAGTGACTTACAAAGAGTGTGTAATCTTTGTATTTCTGACACTATTCATGTGATTACTATCTATGCTCCATACTTACGTTGGTTTCCCATGTAGAAACAAAAGAAAGAGGGCTCAGAGACAGACCTCTTCACTTTTTAGGACATTTGGGAAAATAAAGTGTTTTTTTTTTAACCAAAAATGGAAAAAGAGTTCCAGTGTGAAAACAAAAGGTAAAAAGAATCCGATGTAAGAGATAATTAGTGCCCTGTGTCAGTGGGTGAAGGGTGGGAAAATGTCACCCAGATGAGAGAAAGGAAGACTGAACACTTCAACCTAAGTACCTAATAGGAAGAAAGGGCAACTTCTCTTCTTTCAAGTTCTAATGATATGACTCTCCAGGTACTTTGGGTGAGAAGTCTCACAACTATGGCAAAAGGGAGAAGCCTAGTTAAAGTGGGTGGTTCGGTATCCTTCTGAAGAGCACCAAACCAGCTATTTGTTGACCTAATATAGACAAAGCTGTCTATAGAGGGAGAAATAGAAATAATATTGTTTGGGAGAAATAGAAATAATATTATTGTCAGATTTTGAGATACCAGCTATCCAGAAGAATTTGGGCTGAGAGATTTAGTAAACAGACCACAGACTTTTCAGCCAGAACATTATATATGCCCCAGTGGTGATGGAGAACTCCAATTATCTGGACAGCTGGTGTCATTCTGGCTTTGACCAAAGCAAAACAATTCATAACACCTTAACTTGCTTTAATCAGAATTTTATTCTCCAAAAACAAAAAAAAAAGGAAGATCCAATAAAGGAGATTTCTGAGGCATTTACTCTGGAGAAGAATATGGAAGGCTTTCATTAAATACCTTTCTATATTTGAAAGTCTGAGAGTTGGATGAAACTTCACAGAAATATTGATTTCAAGCTCAGAAGTCATTAGTCTAAGTTCCTTCTTTTACAGAGGAGGAGGCTAAAAAACAGCCAGGGAGAGGAGCAACTGCCCAGGGTGCCACAGGAGGAGCAGAGCTGGCCTTTAAACCCAAGTCTTCTGGTCCCCAATCTGGTGCTTTTTCTACTGAACTGAATCCTTTCTTCCTTTTTAACTGAGTCACAACGTTTTTCTCTGCTTGTCCCCACAAGGCACCTTGAGTGGATGAACAACAAGTGAAGGTTGTTTAAAAAAAAAGTTTCTTTAGGCTTCACGTCAGGAAATGCTGCCTGACGATGAAAACTGTGCCAGAGACAGAAGGGCTGCCCTGGGAGGCGGTGGCTTCCTCCCCTGCAGGATTCTTCTTGCACTGGCTGGAGAAGTCCTTCATGGGTTACAGAAAGGATATCTTAGTCATGTATGATTGGGACTACCTGACCCTTAAGGTCCCTTCCAAGTCTATCATTCTGTGACTTTGCCAGAGACCATGTGGGATTCAATTTAAGCTACAGAACAAAATGTGAGTTTACTCAGAAGTGACATCAACTTTTCTTCCTTCCCTCCTGCCTTTTCCTCCTTCCTTCATTCCTCCCTCCCTCCCTCTTTCCCTTCTTCCTTCCTTCCTTCCTTCCTTCCTTCCTTCCTTCCTTCCTTCCTTCCTTCCTTCCTTCCTACCTTCCTTCTTCCCTCCCTCCCTTCCTTATTTCTTTCCTTCCTTTCTTCCTCCCTCTCTCCGTTCCTCCCTTCTTTCTTTTCTTCCGTCCTTCCTCTTTCTTGATATGTTTCCTGTTTCTCAATTTGTCCCTCCTTATCCCCTCACAGAGCAACATCTCATGCAACAACAACATCAACAGTTAAAATGGAAACAAGTTCACCAAAGCAAGCCAGTATTGAAAAAAAAGTTTGATGCCACATGTCCTTTTCACTAACCCCCAGTCCCCCACCGCTGCAAAGAAGATGTGGGAAATAGCAAGAATTTCATGCATGACCTCCATATCTTTGCATCATTGAAGGACTGGAAAGAAGGGAGAAAGCAGAGCCCTCCAAGAAAATAGTTAGCTGCAGTGGCCCCCAAACCATCACTTGCTACCAAATTATATTGCTTGAGGAGCCATTTCTTTCTTTGGTGGCAAACTTTCTTTTTTTTTAAATTTTATTAATTTATATTGATTTATCAACAATCACTTCCATATGCTTTTGAGTTGAAAATTTTTCTCCCCTTGCGCCCCCCCACCCTCCCCAAGATGGCGCACAATCTGATATAGGCTTTACATTTACATACCCATTAAACAGATTTTCACATTAGTGAAGTTGTAAGTAAAAATTAAAACCAGTAGGAGGAAACATCAGAAATATGAAACAAAACTCAACAGAAGGTAAAAATAAGTGATAGCGATTTGACTTCCATAGTTCTTTCTTTGGATGTGGACAGCATTTTCCATCCCGAGGCCTCTGGAGATGTCTTAGAGCCTTGTAGTGCTGAGAAGGGTTCAGTTTAACAATGTTAGTCATTGCATAACGTGGCTGTTATTGTGTACAGAGTCCTCTTGGTTCTGCTCACTTCACTCCATATCAGACCATATAGGTCTTTCCAGGTTTTTCTAAAGTCAGCCTGTTCATCATTTCTTATAGCACAATAGTATTCCATTACATTCATATACCACAACTTGCTTAGCCATTCCCCAATTGATGGGCATCCTCTCAATTTCCAATTCTTTGGGTGGTAAACTTTCAATGAGCTAGAACTTTGTATTAGCATTGAAAGAAAGTTATTACAACCTGCTAATCTCAACTGAAATATGCAAATGCTGCCTGATTAGTTCCTCTGTGCCCTAAAACATTTACTCTACTTTCCAAAGATAAGAGGTCATTAAATTTAGAATATCTTTCTTATTAATCTTTAATTAATTATTACTGAAGTATCAGAGGCTCAATTGAAGGAAAGCCTAATTACATTGTGAAGTCTTTATAGGGAGAGATTTATTGACCCACTATCAAAACTAATCTATTCAAATAATCTAAGTTCATTAAGATGTACAAATATGTAAAGTACAATTATTAAGCTATTTAAATAGCCACGTTCAGCCCATGCCTAATAATAGAATTATCTGTTGTCATAGGATAGGCAAGAAGCAAATGAAGTGTTTTTGTTCACTCCTATTAAGAAATACATTAGGGCCATGGTAAGGTGGCACTTCAGTAGGTTTGTAGACCCAGGCCCTCACATGAAATC